TTCAGGTTAGGGGCCCAAGGATGGCGAACGTCTATGGCTAGAGACACTAGCCGATACGCTTCGAAACCGGTGTCAATGGTACATCTGTTGCTAAAATCCTAATCAATAATTTGTGATCAAATCGTTTCTTCATTTCTTCCTCCTTATGTTGTCACATTTGCGAGTTCTGTGTGCTTGATTACGTGTTGAAATATATAATCACATTTTTCCTTTTCGTCTGCAATGTTTGATTCCGTTTTGCAGATACATATAGCTGACCGATTCTTCCTTGGCGGACCGCTCGAGTTACGTGGTTTCAAATGGCGTTCGGTGTGCCCGGTCGAACCACTGTTGCAACCTTCATGTTTACGTTTACCAGTCTCCGATCCCACAGCCGGTGATGCATCTTCTGGTGTGTTAGATAATGGGACCAGAGTAACTTGTCCGGTCGGCGCGGAAGGATTTTGGTTGACCGGAGCTCATCTGTATACTCCACTACCTTACTTTGGAGCCGAGAAAGGTTCACTGGCCTCACATTTTCGTCTGCATGGTTTCTATGTTTTGGGTACGTTTCTTGTACTTACGCTTTTTGACCAATCAGTTTTTATTGAATGTATTCAATGTATACAATAGGAACGATTGCAACGGAAAGAATACAGTGTTTTCTTTCAATAGCTCCCGTTGCGCGCGTTTTCATCTACAACGCTGCTCCTTTTGCCTCAGACATATTCGTTGGCCTGACTGAGTGTCGTAAACATCTCACTTTCTGTGCAGCCATGGTTTACTGGAGTTCTCGATTTTCTCTTCGACTGTAGTTTCAACCTTGCTATCTTTCTCCTACTGCAAAAAGACAGCAACCAAAACCGGTCCAGGAAAGTACATGGTTAGTGGTTGTACAAACTGAATTGAAACTGAAACTGGTACTCGTTGGATGCCCACTGTTAACGAAAGCGGTTCTTTAGAAAAACACAGATGTGGCGAACAAGCTTGCTTTCAGTGCTTTAGCTTCTGGCCAATTACAGTTCATTATATAACAGGGAAATAACACGGGGAGACAGTCAAATCTGTGTTTTAGTATCTGCAAAGTGAGAGTTGCGGGGTTGGGAAGGAGGGAGGGAAATATTTCACCACTGACCGTATAATTGGTAATAATCCCTTGCGGAGTGTGAATATTCGACTGAAGTGTTAGGTTGGGGCACTTCAGACACACGGCGGTGGGAGGGAAAGGGTATCTAAGACCTGTTTGTGTGCAGATAATGGAGGTTGTTCATTCTAATTGCGATCGCCTCTGATGTAGATAAAAATCGGGTTTTCACATTCTGAGACCGGATCCCCGTCAGTAAATAGATTGGACGGAACGATTCCCGCACATCCACTGTGATTCGTCTCGACCAGACATATAGCAACCACACTCGCATCTGCCTTTATCGGTCCCCGACTGAGCCAAGCTGGGTGGTGTTCTCTCATTCGATCGGCCAGGCGTCTGGTGGTGTGACCAACGTAACTTGCGCCACGGGAGCCAGTAAACTCTTAAACACAGAAGGAGGTCATCTCCATCAGTTCTTCATTTGATTTGGAAGAGTAGAATGTGCGCCATTCTGTTAAGAAATAACTATTTTCTACTGCATTCCTCAGTCATTGNAAACCTTTTTCTTCTCCACTGTTGGGTCCTTTGATTTTGCAATGTAAGCTCCCATACAACGATCGATGAGTTCCTCTGGGATCCATTGTTTAGAATCGTTGACTTAACTGTTGCTAATTCATCATTCACTGTGTCAGTAGAACAAAGTCTTCTTACACGATTGGCGATGGACTGGATTAGGCTTCGCTTACGCTGCATCGGGAAAAAACTATGATAGTCGATATATTCATTTATTGAGGGAATCCGGTCTCAAAACGCGAAAACTCGATTGTTATCAACAGCAGAGGCGATAGCAATTATAATAAATAAATCTCCATTATCTGTACACAAATAGTTCTTAAATCCCTTTCCCTTTCATCACCATATGTCCGAAGTGCCCCCACCTGTGCTTGTATGTTTCTTGAACGCGAAGGTTTGTTGAATGACCGTCAATATGGATTTCACCCTGGTTGATCTAGAACTGACCTAAGGGTTCCCACATCACATTCCTGGTCAACTGCACTCGACAACAGGGGGTAACTCACGTGGTCTCGCTCGACATTTCGAAGACCTTCGACCGTGTTTGGCGTGAAGGTCTGCTGTCGAAATTACCCACGTTTGGATTCCGCCCTTCTCTCGTTTCGTGGTTCCAATATTTCCTCAGCAAGCGAACCACCGTCCGACTAACCATGTGTGTTTCAATGCTCCTAAAAGGTCTCTCCTCTCTTAAACGTGTCGCTTATTCACAGTTGATTTTCAAATCGCTGTCCCTTCCACAAATTCTATCCCTCCTGGGTTTATCTATAAAATGTTTTCTGTGTTGATCCCCGTTTATTTCCACACCCGCCTCCCGCTGAGCGCAAAGTAGGTTTTCTATTCTGCATAAAATCTTGCATAAAATCACCACCTTTTATAGAAAACTCAAGCCGCCCGATGCTCGAATACTGCAGTCACGTATGGAGGGAAGCTTCTTCCCTCGACCGTGTTCAACGTTAGACCATCCGGCTGATGGCCCTACCGTCTTTACTTTGCACCCTGGAGTCCCATCGCCGGGCATTCGCTTTGTTACCTCTTTTCTATCGTTACTATTTTGGTTTCTGCTTTTCGGAAGTCGCTTCACCGATTCCTCTCCCAGTGACCTTTACTCGTCCATCTCGTTCTCGGGTGGGTATTCACTCTTATCAGGTTTCTGTCCCCAGATGACGGAATTTTATCTTTCAATCTTCTTTTTTCTTTGGAATTGAGAAGTTGTGGAACACTTCCTATCTCCGTGTTTCCATGCTCTTATAATCTTGCCTTTATCAAAATCAGGATTAGCCAATTGATTCTCATTTGATTGTTCCCCCACATACCTTCCCCCTTGCAGCGTGTCATTAATTATGGGGGGTACCGCTTTTGCTTCGTGTGAAATAAAAATAATCAAATTAAGAACCTAAATACGTAATTTCATTCAGTCATCTTCCATTGTAAAAATCATAAATTTCACTGCGGCCGAATTGTTGCGACCTCTTGAAATCGGATCCGTCTAACCTGTCTAGTATGGGTAGCACGGTCGAATGATCAACGCAACTTCCATATATAAATTAATCAACATACAGAGTTATATATGTGTCAACCAAAAGTTTGCTTTGCCTCCATTGCCGGGTGTAACGAGCACGCAGATCGACCGGATCTCCTGTGGGTTCCATGACTCCTCTCATTAACAGGAGGCTGTTGGGTGTGAGAACTTCTAGGTTATCCGTATCGCTGTAGACGGGCACTAAGGGGTGGTTGTTGAGGATCCTTTCGATATCAGTGAGATATGTGAGTAGCGTTTCGTCCGTTAGAATCTGTTCTCGTGACACGGCACTTAAGATCCTGTGTATAGAACGGATTACTCTCTCCCACACACCACCCCGGTGACTAGCATATGGTGGATTGAAATGCCACTCTATCTCTTTCAACTGCAATTCCTTCCGAATCCGACTATCATCCATTTCCTTAAAAAACTTCCGTAATTCCAATTCCGCACTGACGAAATTCGTCCCTTGAACACTGTAGATTTCTTTAGGATGTCCTCGTCTACTCACAAACCTGGTCAACGCCATGAGAAAGGAATCGATCGTGAGAAAGTGCGCTACCTCAATGTGAACAGCTCGAATCTTAAGACACGTAAAAATACATCCATAACGCTTCCTTGTCCCGCCACCTGCTCGTACACCGATTGGTCCAAAATAATCTAGGCCGGTTACTGCAAACGGGAAGTCGGGTTCCAGACGACTGGTTGGCAGCTCCACCATGAGTTGGTCGACGGGTACGGCCGATCTTGCTCGGCAACCTATGCATCGTGCAATTACTCGCTTAACAGCGGCTGTCCCACGTGTTATCCAAAATCGTCCTCTCAGCACCGATAGGACATGCATCAATCCCATATGACCTTCTAACTCGTGGTAATGGCGGATGATAGACTCGGTCATCACATGTCTACCAGGCAGAATAAGTGGTCTTTTGAAGTTCGCAGGAAATCTACCCTCGGTTATCCGGCCACCAACGTACAGCAGTCCACCGGCTAAGACGGGACGCAGTTTACTTAGCGGTGATCCCTTGCATGCGAGGGCTTCGGGTCCCTGACTCCAGTTAGGGCGATTGAGTATGCTCTCAGGAAACATCTGTTGTTGCACGTATTGGATTAGGGTCAATTCTGCGTCCTTTAGTTTGCCTAGAGTGATCGCGTTCTTGACGTTCCACTGAGGAGTCGATCTGTCCGACTTTATCTT